GTATTTGGTGTCAATCACGCCTTGTTCCTATAGATCGCGGATATGATGTACACGGATGTCGATGTGTTTCAGTTGTTTTAGCGTGCCCGTGTTGGTAATGACGTGGACAGCAGACTTGTTATCGCAGCATAGTGTGGTTGGGCTGTCAGGTGCGAGGTTTGAGTTCAGACAGGAAGTTCCGTAGCCACTGTATGTGTTTGGCGGCCTCACTGGCGGCAAAGTACTCGGCCTCAGCAGTGTTATTGCTGACTGTTTTCTGTCGCCTGCTTTTCCAGATAACGGGTGTGTTGCAAACACGGAGGACATAGCCTGTCGTTGATCGGCGTGTGTCAGGGTAACTAGCATAGTCTGAGTCTATGTATGTGTCGGTTGATAGGGGTTGTTGACACTTTGCGTATGTGAGTCCAAGTGTGGGGTGTATTTTGAGATAGCGTAGGACTCTGCAGACGGCGTTCCAGTGGTCCTCGCATGGGTTATTGAGGAACCGCGAAAGGGAGTTCACGGCGAAGGTGATGTCAATACGGGTGAGGATAGACAGGTAGAGGAGGGTGCCGACGAGTTCGCGATACGCGCAGGGAAAGGGCGGGCCATGATGAGCGGAAAGGATGGTTGCGGGGAAGGGCGTGTGGGTGGCGTGGACAGACTCAAGGCCGAAGTGCTAGACGGCCTCGTCGATGTAGGAGGTCTGGACAACGCTAGTGGATATATTGTTTGTGACGATGCGACAGCCTAATAGCCAGGTGAGCTCTCCGAGTATGGAACAGTCGAAGACGGCAAGGAGTTCGCTTGAATATGTCCACATTTTTGCGGGTAAAACCGCAAATAATGAGGTCGTCGACATATATAAACACCGTGCAGTTATATGTGAGGGTGCGGATGTGAAAGAGACATCGGTCAGTGTGTGCTTAGGTGAAGCCAAAGGATAGGAGCTTGGACTTGGATCAGAGAAAACCAGAGCTTGCCGGACTGCTTGAGCCCGTAGAGGGACTTTTTGAGGGCGACAATTTTGGAAGGGTCAAGGCCGATTTAAGCGGGGCCTGATGGAGCTTTCATGTAGATCGGGTGGTCGAGGTCGGCGTGAAGGAAGGCGGTATTGACATCCATTTGCTCTGTGTGCCAGTCCTGGTCGGCGGCAACAGCGAGGAGTGTGCGGATACTGTCATGAGTGCAGGTAAGTGCGTAGGTCTCCGTGAAGTTTACGTCCTTGGTTTGTGTGAAGCCGCGAACGACTAACCGAGCCTTGTACTTGTCGATGACGCCATTGATCATCTTTATCTTGAAGACCCACGTAGATGTGACAGGAAAGACGTCAGGTGGGAGGTCAATGGCATCACAAATGACGTATGTGCCGGTACTGCGGAGGCTGTTAAGCTCGCATTGAATGGCCGCGCGCCAGAGGTCAGTTTTAGGGGATTTCAGTGCTTATTTGATGGTAGTAGGGGTGATTGGTGTGTTTTGTATAGATTCGCATACACTGTAGACATGCTTGCGCACTTTCTCGAGTTCCTCTTGGTCGGCCTTTTGCTTGCGCGTGAGTGGAGGAGGGTTGGACGTAATAGCAGGGATGTCGGTGTGGTGTGTGTTGTCACATGTGTCGATGAGAAGGTTGCGTAGTTCATGGGAGTTGGAACGTTTACGGATGTGTTGTTGTAGCTGGTCATTGTGTGCATTGCCGAGGATGCGTGATTGTTCCTGTGTGTGGTGTGCGTCAGTGCTAAGTTGTGCCTTGTTCGCTTGCCATGCAGCAGGTGTTGACTTTGTAGGGCGAGTGACACGCTGAGTGGCGGCTTGGAGGCGATGATGGAGATTAGGGGGTGCAGGGTTGTCGGAGGTCGCCGAAATGGGGTAGGTGGAGGGCGAAGGTGTGTCCTCTGCGTGTGAACTGGATGTGGTGAGTGGCTCGTGAGTGGGTGCGGGCTCGAGGTCAGTGGATTTGCGTTGTGGATCCGTGGGGACGGATGGGAGAGTGTCACGATACGTACCTTGGAGATTTGGTCCTCGGTAAAATAGGGACGGGATTTGGAGCCATGTGATTGCCAAAATGGGAAGATTCCTTCGTTGAAGGTCACGTGACGCGTGGTGATGACCTGGCTTGTGGCGGTGTTGAGCATGCGGTATTCTTCAGGGTTTTTGGAGAAGGGATCGCGAGCAAGGATAACGCCGAAACGAACTCGTTTACGGAGCTTTTCTTTGTTACTATGATCGATAGACATAGTCATGCAGCCGTAGACTCGTAATGCATGCACATGGGTGGTGGGTTTGCGGCCGAAGAAGTGCTCGTAGGGACTGGCACGGCCTGGGTTGGTGTCACGAGGAGAGATTTTGGGTATAGGGGTTGCGTGAGACTTAGCTTCCGCCCATATGTGGCGGGGTTGCTTACATTGGGCGATGAGGCAGAGAGCAGTCTTCATATTGACCTGGTGACCACGTTCAACGCCGCCGTGTTGGGCAGAGTCGTCCGTGCCGTTGCATAGGATTTGTACTTGATATAGATGGTTCACTCGTTTAAATTCGGCGGAAATGAACTCACCCTGTGGCGGTGTTGAGCATGCGGTATTATTCAGGGTTTTTGGAGAAGGGATCGCGAGCAAGGAGAACGCCGAAGCGAACTCGTTTACGGAGCTTATCTTTGTTACCATGATCAATAGACATAGTCATGCAGCCGTAGACTCGTAATACATGCACATGGATGGTGGGTTTACGGCCGAAGAAGTGCTCGTAGGGACTGGCACGGCCTGGGTTGGTGTCACGAGGAGAGATTTTGGGGTTAGGGGTTGCGTGAGACTTAGCTTCCGCCCATATATGGCGGGGCTGCTTACATTGGGCGATGAGGCAGAGAGCAGTCTTCATATTGGCCTGGTGGCCACGTTCAACGTCGCCGTGTTGGGCACAGTCGTCCGTGCCGTTGTATAGGATTTGTACATGATGTAGATAGTTCACCCGTTTGAATTCGGCGGAAATGAACTTACCATCGCGGCCGGTGACGATAGTGCATATGCGATGGCGGCCTATGTCTTCAATTCAGGTGTAGAAGCGGTCAAGGGTGGCAGCGGCGTCGTCTTTGTGTTCAAGGTTTTCCTCGTATTCGAGACCAGAAGTGCGTTCAAAGTAGCGGATGGTATAAGCGTGGCCCCCGTAGCTTTCTTCGAATTTCCCTTCAAGGTCGACTTGCCATTCGGATCCGATGTCAGGAAGAGAACGGGGCTTGTTACGAGTGGCTTTCTTGCGCATCTTGCCTCTCGCGCAGGAGGTGCAAGTGCATTCAGGTTTGCCGGTGTGGAGGATAGAGATGTCAATGGCGGTTTGGAGGTCGGCGGCAATGGGGTCGGCGTATTTGGTGGGACCGAAAATGGCGACACCAGTGTAGAGCCAGGGTGGATTGGTAACAAACTCTTGGGAGCCATTGGAGCCACGGCGGATGAAAGTGGTGGGCGATGATGGGATGATTTCGACGTGAGACTGAAGGTGGTCCATGAGTTGTGTCCACCAGGAGGCGCGCGGTTTCACAGGGAAGACCATGATGACTCGGCCGGCGTCTTTGTCGAGTTTGCGACAGCTTTTGGGGAAATTTTTCTAGGGTTGATTTCCGTAGAGCTTCTTGTTTGGTTTATGCCAGTTTTGTTTGTATGCGTCGTGATAGTGCGTGTCTTTGTCGGTGAAGTCTTCGGTACAGTAGGTGGGTACTTGTTTGTTATGTTTGGATGAAAACAAGTCGATGTCGATGGGGCCGAAGGGCTTTTGAACGTGGTCTTCGAAGAGATCGGGTGCGAGTTGGTAGTCGTTGCAGTAGGTTAATGGCGGTTTGATGGGGAGGTTGTTAGCGAGAGCCATAGCTTTGGTGGTGCGTGTGGACTGGTGTCCGAAGCGTGCATGGTGGAGGTGGAGGCTCTCGGCTTGGAAGGCGTTGAGTTGGTAGCGGCCGGCGGCCTCGGTGACGATCTGAATGGTGTCAGTGCCATAGGTGATGTGACTTTCGCCTGGAGTATTGGGTGTGTTGATCTCGGGGAAAGTGACTGTATAGCCATTGCATTGGAGATTGCGGACGGATAGGATAGGTTGGGCAGCAGTGGGTAGCACGAGGGTAGGGCCGAGGCCAAGGATGGTACCGCGTGTGTATGCGGTGGTAGTAGATCCGCCAGCGAGTTCAATAGTATATGTGCCGGACTGAAGGTCAGTTAGGTGATCGGTGGAGGTGACGATGGAGATATCTGCCCCTGAGTTGATGAGGGCGGTGGAGAATGTGGTGGCGAGGGCGGTGTCGAGTTGGGGCGTCGCGCGCAGAGTGAGAGATTGCACAGTATAGTAGGATGGGAGGGTGGTACTAGAGGAGGGGGCGGGTTGGGTGGCGCGCGTTGCCCTGGCATCTCAGTTGGTGGTAGCGGCAGATGAGTTGCGCTTGCCGCGAATACACGCTTCAGTCGTGTGGCCGGTGGAGTATCTACAATGGTCGCATGTGAGTTTTCCTGTGGTGGTGCAGGCATTCCCTTTGTGGTCTTTGCTGCCACATCGGCGACAAGTAATATTGGGACACTCATATGCAGTGCGGCCAGGCTGGTGGCAGGCGACGCAGTTACCGGTGGTATGGTTTATACCAATGGGTGGGCGTTTGAGGGTATCGGTGCCATTACTACGTGGTTGGAAGCGAGTACTGGCTACGCCATAGAGAGAGGGACCCCTTAGTACTGCACTGGTATTGATTGCGTGATTGCGAATCTTTGGGACTACGGTGTCAAAGGTGTATGTGTTGTCGGTAGTGGCCATGATATCCTGTGCGACGAGCTGGAAGCTGTCTGGCAGGGATTGAAGGAGGGAGCAGATATGGTAATATTCAGGCGTAGTGGTGTTGAGGCCTTTGAGTTGGTCCCTGAGCAGAGTTACTTTAGCGATGCTGTCGTGTCTAAGCAGGGTTGCTGTGGAAGTGTGAGGAGCTGCACTAAGAGTTCCCAAATGCGGCCAATTGTGACGGAGGTAAAATCTTGGCATATGTGTTGGTAGAACAGACTCGGGGGTTGATCGAGATATATGTGTCATATTGCTCGGGTATGCCGGGGCCAAGGGATTCGAAAAGGATCGTAGTACCGACGGTGAGCTCGGCATCATCGGCAGTAGTGTTGGGGTGTAGGGTGTGGAGGACGTCGTGCTTTTTCATCATATGTCTGAACTGTCTGTGCCAATTAGTGAAGTTTTTATCACCCGTGAGTTTGGTGGCTACATAGGTGTCATTGTATTTGAAGGCTTTGGCAGTGCTGACGCGGGAGGCAGGGAGGTTGTGGAGTTGTTGCGTAGATTGAGTGTGAGAGGTACCGGAGGGGGAGTGTGGGGGTGGAGTAGTCGGTGGTGTCTGAGGACCTGCCATACGGCGAAGCTTTTGCTCGGCAAGAAGGAGACGGTGACGAAGTGTGGTGGAGTCGGTGTCGATGGGCTGAGAGCGTGCTGTGTCAAGTTGTGTTTTGAGTTGCGCGATGTCTGTATGGGCGTTGTGGAGGGATACCTGTAGGGCATCCATTTCGGCAAGAGTAGCAGTGAGGAAATCATTGTGTTCGTGTCGGAGATAAAAGATGGTGGCTTCGAGCTGGACATTGGTGGCACGGAGTTCAGATATAGTGTAAGTGTGGGCAGTGGCTTCGGCGACGGAATCATCGCGGATTTTGCGAAGGCGCTTGTTGTCGGCGGTGAGATCGGATGTGTCGGGGTGAGGGGATGCGCGAAAGTGATCAAGTTGTTCGTTCAGCGAGTTGCGATCAGCGATGCAGGCAGTGAAGTTGGCTTGGGTGTCGTCGCGCTCCTTGCGGGCGCTTTCGAGTTTGGTGATGAGAATGTCCTTGTCTTGCTGGAGTTGGTCGAGGATTTCTTCGAGGTTGGAGGTAGAGTTGGCATCACGCTGTGTACGAGCCTCCTTGAGTTTGTCGAGTAAGGTGTCCTTTTCTTCTTTGAGGACGTAAATGGTGGCCTCGTGTGCGTCATTAGTGGCACTAAGGGTGTTATATTCAGTGGTGTGCGTGGCATACGCGTCATTTCGTTCAGCGATCGCACGTGTGGTTGCGAGGTCTGAGAAAGCAGCATGTGCTGCGAGGTATATAGTGATGGGATGCACTGGTGGGCGGTTGTCATGATCAAGGACGCGGTCAAGAATTTTGTTTAGTATGTTGAGGTGCTGGTTGGCGTGGCTGATGGATTGATAAGCGTCAAGGCGAGGGAAGAAGTTTGTGTGAAATCTTGTGGCGGAATCGAGGTTTGTGAAAGTAGATCGGGGTATGAGGACCCCTTTTGGTTGAGTTGGAGGGTGAGATGTTGGTGCGAGGTACGGGGGTGGTTGGGTGGTTGTTGCCTGGGTGGTAGCGACTGAATAAAAAGTATGTGTTAGAGTGTAAGATGGTAGTCTTTGAATAAAGCGTAATTGTATATCTTTATTTACAACCTCACCTTTGGTTTTATACTCAAGGTGTTTGTGCCAGTGTTCAACCGCTTAGGTTGGCCAGGGTGAAAACTCATATGGTCAGTATGAGAAACCTTTTGCAGAACACTTTAACACTTATATATTGTTCTATAGCATAATCTCTGCTACTCGCTCTTACGCCGATCAATCAATGTTGCTTGGCTTTCAGAGCAAATTTCTCCTAGGTATCGGCTTTCGGAGCAATGCTCTCATAGGAGCAAATGTATTATTAACATGATGTGGTTAATACTTTGATCCGCTTTTCGGAGTGACGCAACTCCTGTGATTTTATTCAAGAAAAAGAGTTTTCTTGCTATTGAAACTTGCTTGAGATCTGTAGTCTCTCAGTATGGTACCAAGTATGCCCATAACCTCTTAGAACATATATTTAAAAGTAAGTTTATTATCATATTGCAGGTCTAATATTTACATAGTCTCAATATTCTATGGCATGTATGCCACGCTGTATTTGCTTAACATGACATTTTGACACTCTGACACTCTGATACCAAATATCTCTAGGGTTAGTTTGGGGGTTAAATTCGCTCCAACATCTGGTGCTACAGCCCCCCAACTTTGTGCTTCTTAGCCTGAGTAGGTTGATAAACTGATATCCTACAGTACTAGATCATCTAGAGATTGATGTTTCTGTACAGGGAAAACTCGTCCCTTAGGGGGTTAAGATGAAAAACCTGCCACCATTATCTATTCTTACATATTACCTAATTTAATATTTATACTGTGACGGGAGTTCTCAACCATGCTAATCGGAGTCGGTCTTGACCGGTGCTCTCGGTTGATCTCAACTTGGCTTAGGAAAACGCATCTCAATGGTGGGTCTACAACCGAGTCTTTGGTCCTTATCCCTCTGGTATGTGGGCGGAGCATACTTCAAGGTGAATACTGTGGGAGTGTCCCTTGGTATCAGTGAGACTTGGTTAATCCCCCCGCCTCGTGCGCTTTCTTTTACTCACTGATCTTTCATAAGTACTCGTTGCCGTTAGATATAGTGTATGAACATCAGCATCTGCGATGTCTGACTCATGCGTCCAGGTGTCTAGGTTCGCTCCCCATGTGTCCATTGTAGTAGGTACTCTTGGGACGTTCACCACTTGGATGGACGGCCTGTGGTCGAGTATCGAGGAAAACTGAGTCTTCTCCGATGGTTGTACTTGGTTATTGAAAGTAAATTATTCCGGAGCATTGGCTTTTGTACGAGTCCAATTAGCTCATCACTGACCGAGTTAGAATATTCCAGGGCTTCCCATCAAGGTTTCAGACAAAATATCCGTTGCCCTCCCTGCATACTATTTTGTATGGGAAGTAAGTTCTGCCGGAGCATCGTCTGTTTTACGAGTCCAATTAGCTCATCACTGACCGAGTTAGAATATTCCGAGGCTTTAGTCCCATCAAGGCTACAGACGAAATATCTGCTGCCCTCCCTGCATACTGTTTTGCAGGGAAAGTAAATTCTTCCGGAGCATTGGCTTTTTTACGAGTCTATTTAGCTCATCACTGACCAAGTTAGAATATTCCGGGGCCTTAGTCCCATCAAGGCTACAGACAAAATATACGTTGTCCTCCCTGCATACTATTTTGAATGGCACGCCATAGGGTGCTGTCATTTTGTTCATGTCAACTTAATAATGAACCTGGACAATGTCCCCTTCCTGGAAATGTACAAACTTCTTTTGGTATTTTTGATCGTATGCTGCGCGTCTTCTCTTGATATTGCCCAGCATTAGTGTATAGTTGTGGCCTGGTTGCCTCTTCTAGATTCTGCAGTCGCTCCTCCCATGATATTGTCGTACTGGGTGCGTTCACTGCTGCGTTGTAGTCCGGGAGTTGATTCTGTCTGCGATCAAAGTACACATTAAATCTCGGTGGTTTATGTCGTCTTGATGTGCGCAGATTGTGACCCATTTGTACGAAGGGAAGTTGTGAGCACCAGTTGCCTGGGGTTTGTTCAACGAATTTTCGTAGCAATTGTATGATGTCTCTATGTAATCGCTCGTTAGCACCTAAGACTTTAGGTTGGTGTTAGAGTACAATGTAGTAGACTTTAAATAAAGTGCAAATGTATGTATTTATTTCTGACCTCACCTTTGGTTTTATACCGAAGGTGTTTGTGCTAGTGTTCAGCCGCTTGGGGTGGCCAGGGTAAGGGGTTTTTCTTTAACACCTGCGGAACACTTTAACACTTCGATGTTTTTCTATTTCAACTTCGCTGCAACTAAATCTCACGCTGATCACATGATGCCTTTCCGCATAGGTTGTGACTCACATAGAATCGCAGCTATTATTAATATGTTGTGGTTGACAGGCTTAATCCACTCTCGGGAATCGGTTGAGAAACTAAATCTGCTCTCGGAAGTCGGTAAAGTAATAACTCAACTCTTGAGAGTAATTTGAGCAACTTGATTAGCTCTCGGGAGTGAGCAAACTCTGATGACTTAGCTCTCGGTAGTGAGCTAATTTTGATGACTTCCATAAATCAAAGATGGTTTCTTGCTGTAAAATCTGACCTGAGACCTGTAGTCTCTCAGTTGGTATGGGCGAGAGACTAGGTGTTGTGTCGGCGCTTGTTCAATGACTTTTGAGAGTATATCATTAACATATTCAGTGCCTTAGTCTGTCTGTATGATTTGTGGGAACCCATGTTCGCACATTATTGGAACCAGCGTGCGTGCTACATACAGTTTCTGCTGATTTGTCCATCATTGGTCCGAGTATTACATATGATGAGCTAACACATATGTGTGGCCTCTTTTTTGAGTCCAATAGTGGGTTGATGGTGTCCCTTCGAACTCTGTCTCCTGGAAAAGCGGCTGCGATTAATTGTAAGGGATGAAAACCCTTTTTGTGAATTTTATTTTTGAGACACGGTACACACCCTTCAATGTATCTGTGTACATGTTGTTATATTTGTGGCCAATCGTATCCATCTGCTTGCAATTTATTTGCCGTTTCCTCAGTAGTGTAATGTCCCAAGTTGTGGTATTACCCGATGATGTTGTCGTGTGTCTCGTATTTAGTCTCATTCAATGCATCTCCAGATTTATAACTGCTTGCGATGCTGAAACGTGTATGACAGGTTGTTCCCGCGTTAAGTCAAAGTATGGAAACTTCACTCATATCTTTGCTACGAATGTGACACCTCATGGGGACTTGCCACACGCTTTCGTGACGTGTTGTTTGTGTTTTCCATTAGCATCGGTTCTTCTTCTAGGAAATACATGAATTTCGGAAACCACATTGCATTTAGGTAGTAAGGTACACTTATCGTGATGCTGGTTGCCTCTTCAATGAATGTGTCGAGGACATCAGTATGAGTTCCCAAGGCGGGTTTGCCCATGCATTTACCATTTAATTTTCTGTGCCCACTTCTGTATGAGCGCATTCTGGTTTTTTTTGTAGTATTTATCTGTGTGTGCATTGCGTGCTGATGCAAACAGATCTACTGTGAGTTTCTCAAGCAGTCTTTCAGCTTCTTTATATAATCTGGGGTGTAGCATTAAGTCTATAGCTGATATGGTTAGGGGCATGTTTATTACCAGGGTATTGTACTTTTGGCTGTTGTGTGTTGTTTTGTTCGCGTCTTTTAATTTCTCCGACGTTTTGATATTAAATGTGAATTCGTGTAGACATGACAGAAAATATCTGTAATCTGGTTGTTCTTGCCTGGTACATGTATGATGGAAAAATGGTGGTGGGATGTCTTTGCTATCCATTTGGCTAGTATTGGGTGTAACATCTATTGATTGTTCATTTGCGTGAGCGCTTTATGATCTGTCTATAGTGTTATGCATCCTCTTTTGATGTATTCAGAGAAATGTTCGAGACTGTATACCAGTTCTAGTAGCTGTTTAGTGTTTGTACCATAGCGTTGATAGGCTGGGCTCAGGCCTTTAGAATAGTATAGAAAAAAATCTTCTGACTCCATCTTAGACTTGAAATAAACATCCTCCTATGCCATAGTCACTAATGTCGTTCATGATCTGGAACGGTCCCCCATCAGCTGGATATGAGTGTCGCTGCTCGCGATGGCTTCTTCAAGTTTTTCCCACTTCGTTAAAAGTTCCGGTATCCATAACATGAACATGTTTTGATACATTTTGCCTTTATTAGGTTGCGGAACTGTTTAGTTGTGCAGGCAAAGTTGGGGACATGGTCACGCATATATTATTCGGTGCAGATCTATTTTTGTTCTGGTTTGTGGCCAGTCCATCATTATTTTCTGGGGGGGTTTTTTTTTATCAGCTTTGAGTCCTTGTGTGGTGACCTTCACTCTTAGAGTGTTGACCACTTTGGCCACGAAGGCACATTTGTTGTGATCGAGTCGGAAGTTGGCTGTATTCAATCGTTTCATTGCTTTAAGATGACTCTTTGGAATTGTGCTGTGAGTGAGTCCAGGTCGAATGGCGCGGACTTGAGTTAGCATTGCCGCCCTTCTTCACAAGAATGTGAAGAAGTGTGGGTTTGCTTCATAGACTAAGAAGTGATGGAACCTTCCTGCGAGATCTAGTTTCGAGAAGATATGAGTTCCTTGTAGATTGTGTAATACTTTCTTTATGTTTGGAAGAACGAATTTGCCTTGTTTATATTGATAATTGATCTCGCTTAAGTCCAAACATGATCTGACTTTCTTCAGGAGACCTGTTTGGTCATGTTCTCCTGTAGATAAGAAGGGTAAGTTCACCGTTGTCGGTGTTGTTCGTTTATATAGGTGACATCTTCACATTTTCATCCGTTTGTGGGATATATTTATATGGTATAGGTTTACTTTGGCGTGTCTATTTTGTCTAACATTGATTTCATTTGCAGGCGCTGCGACTTTAGAGCCTGGCAGGTTACAATATACGTCAGGGGGTATGTTCGCATTGGCCTCAAAGAGGTCTACAAGTGACTCTCTGAACCCTTCTAGTTCGTGTTTTTGGTCTTCCTCATGTGGAGTGAGTAGTGATTCCTATTTTGCATCTGTTTTTTTAAGTAGATTTATCAATCCTGCTATGTATATACCTACGAATGGAAGAATGTTCATTCCTTGAAGTATTGGTGCCTCCTTATCTGGTAGGCCCAACACTTCGGAACACTGAGAGGATTTCCTTCCTCCATATTTAATGTCACATACTTGAATTGACCCTGTTCTTTGTATTCTCGCATTTGTTTGTGTTAGTTGTATATAGCCTGGTTGCGCTCTGACTGATGGGTATCGCATCCAGGGACCAGATTATTAAAGAGCCAATCCAAATCCCGAAACCTCAGAATCATCAAGTATTGAGTATTGGAATTAGGGTTCAAATATTCCTGATATTAGAGTTATCAGAAATATTAGCGGTAGAACCGGTAAGCTATACCGGGACTCCGCGTGTGAGAGAAACACTCAAGTAGAAACCCAAGTCTAGTGAACTAGAAAACACAAATAAAGACTCAGTTCGGTTCTCTCAGCTGAAGGACCTTTTCTAGATGAGAAAACCGTACTTGAGAAGAGGACTATTGTATCCTTTGGCTCGTATCTTTCAGCTACAATCCTCTCCATACTCTACGTAGGTACAGTTCAGTTACCTACATTTGTCCATACATAAGCGTTGTGCACCCGAGTCTACATGTTTGCCATTTATTTGTATAATAATGTGTAATCTTTGGTCTCGTGGTAAGGAAAGCAAGGATAAAGACTAGTAATTTAAATCATTCGCATTTATTAACAACATTTCTTTATTTGTATTTACATTCAAATCAGGTCTGCTTCTGTCCACCAATTGTTTCAGGAGTCGTCGCTATCTGTTAGCTCCTAAGGTAATAGGTAGTCGTGCTTTGCATATCATTCTTGGCACGCTCATCAGCCTTCTCATTTTGATTTGGTGTCTTCATATGACATTGGCTAAATCGATGTGGGGCTGGTGATACCTTACAACAAGGACATGCACGTGCTTTGCGCGCCCCTTTCTTCTCATGGGGCTGTCGTATTGTATTGGTGCGCTTTGGTGTGCCATTGTCTGGTCTGTGACGCTTGTGGGCAGAGGTAGTGGCGTTCTGTGTTTGTGTGAGTGGACCATGTTCGAGTTGTATATCTTTTAGTCTCCGTATATTCGGTCCGCCTGCACATTTGCTACCGCTCTTATGGATGCTTCTGTAAGAGAGTAGAACACATTTTGTTTCATATCTGATAAATGACCACTACTTCCATCAGGCAGTTTGTCTGCGATTACGTCTACTTTGTCTTGTTGACAATAGTACACGAGTGCCTTGTATCTCGCTACCTTATAGTGACATGGACTTAAATAAGAACAGGTCGATACATTGAGGAGTAAACTCTGTAATGTCTTCGCAATTTTTCATTTTGAAGGAACTATCTTTCGATAACTTCGGAAATTCTGAGGCCTCTTGTAGTTTAGATAGTGCTGGTTCATTAACCTCGTCACATAAGCGTGAAGACATGATTTCTAGATCACTAATGTATTGACTGGTTTGAATCGCTTCATCCTCTTCGTCATCCCCACACGCATTAATGGTTTGATCGTATATTTTTCTGAGCTCTGTGTCGACCAGAGGCATGCGACGCTCAGGTTGCTAATAGTAGATGCCCACTCTCATTGTAGACTAGCGATAGCTACAGGTGCTGTTCCTTCTAGCTTGGTGACGAATCAGCTGAACAGGAAATAATTGCCTTCACAAATGCTCTTATCTATCTCTAAACGCATTGCTGACGCCTGGATGAGTACCCCATTAGGTGTCTGTAGTTTCGAGCTGCTACCTGGGGTTGGCTCCCCTGCTTGGCTTTTGTCCACGCCATTCGCGTTAGCGTCACTCCCTTCACCACCATACACCCCTGCTCTGGTTGCTGTTGACATCTTGAGTTGTCTGTGTTGTGTCGCAGGTTACTAATAAAGACTTGTGCTATATTCGTCCGAATGAGCGCTTCACCCCCCTTGTCTTTGCTAGTAACGTAAAAAATAATTCGTTGTAAATACGCTTTGCTGCACTTCCCTGTGAAGTGTTTACTGTTATGTGTTGTGCGGTAGTTTGTTGCGTTCCTTCCTGTGATTGGGAAGGTGTATTTGTTGTTTGTTTGTCATACTTATTTTGTCACGTATGGTTTTAGACATGTTTTCTCACATTGGATAACAATCTTATTCTGTCGTGTGTGATCTTAGCTAAACTTATATTCTCATTTGAGATTTTAGCTTCTATTTGACACGTGTTATGATATATTGATGTTCGGTCCTATATCGAACGGTTGTGTCTTACAGGAGTCAATTGTGATGTTGTGTCTTACAGGCGTCACTTGTGATGTTCGGTCGTATTGACGTCACCTTTGATATTCGGTTCCTTACCCATATTCTGTCGTGTGTGATCTTAGCTAAACTTATATTCTCATATGAGATTTTAGCTTCTATTTGACACGTGTTATGATATATTGATGTTCGGTCCTATATCGAACGGTTGTGTCTTACAGGAGTCAATTGTGATGTTGTGTCTTACAGGCGTCACTTGTGATGTGCGGTCTTATCGACGTCACCTGTTATGTTCGGTCGTATTGACTTCACCTGTGATGTTCGGTCGTATTGACGTCACCTTTGATATTCGGTTCCTTACCCAACTATGTCTGAAATATTCTGTGTTCTACTTGAACCTATAAATGCCCTTCTCTGAATCTAATACAGTTCAGTGCGTCTGTGCGTCTGTGCTGTTGAGCTAATGTGTT